AATGTGACAGCTGTACAGCCGAGGAAACTCTCTGTCCTCACTCACACACACACACACACACACACACACACACACACGCACACACACACACACGGTCACCATCAGCACTGTGTGTGCCTACACGTGTGTGTGTTACATCACAGGGCCGACAGGCTGATGCAGACGTGTTCTCCCTGCAGTGGGAATTTTCCCGTCACAGGTAAATCTGAAGGCTGGAGAAGGTTAAAGGTTCCTGACCTCTGACCGCTGACCGGGTCTGTGGCTCTCAGACTGAGTCTCTCCAGGCAAACGTCATCGGTCAGCTCCAGGAAGAAAACCCTGACAGTAAGAGGAGGACGAGAATGTGAGCAGGTTAAAAGGATTTCGGAGTTTTCTGGAGTTTTCTGGAGTTTTCTGGAGTTTTCTGGAGTTTTCTGGAGTTTTCTGGAGGCTGCGTGAGTACCGTGAGCTGTACCTGTTGGGCTGCTGGTGGCTCTCCTGCAGGCTCCGGGCCTGCTGCAGGTCGCAGGGGAAGCCGTGCAGGATCCAGCCCCCGCGGGTGCAGTCGGGTCGGCTCAGCCGCTCCTCCAGGACCTGCAGCAGCAGCGAGTCTGGAACTGCAGCCACAGCGGGGTTAGTGTCGCCCTCTGGACGCTAGCGCACGCGGTCACAGCCGGCCCCGCCTCGGCAGGCGACGGTCGGAGGCTTATGTCAGCTCGTACCGTCTCTGCCCCCTCCCTGATTTCTTGTTTGCACATTAGTCACACCATAAACATATCAAAAATCCCAGACACTTGTGGGAAACCTTGTGTGGACTGACGCGAGACGAGCGGCACTTTCTGGAAGGTTTGACAGAGAAGATCACAGCTGCAGGCAGACGTGGTGGGAGTGTGTGCTCACCTGGACGTCCGCCATCCAGGTACGCCTGGACCTCTGCTCCTCCACTGGAACCAGCTGCAGCTACAGACCTCAGCAAGCGACCACAGCTCACTGACACACACACAGACACACACACACACACACACACAGTGAAAACAGTCTTCGTCATGTGACCTTTGGCCGTTCTCATTACTTCCTCCACCTGAGCGAAACCTCAGATTTCACTCTGACCTGACAGGACATGCTTTTCATCAGTGTGACCTCTGACCCTTTAAGTCATATCTTTACATGTTACAAAGAGACTGTGGCAGGTTTGTATTTAGCAGCTACTCGCTCGGAGCTTCCGTGTGACCCATCCTGGCTGCGTACCGTCCACCATCCCGTACTTCTCTGACAGCAGCTGGGCTTGACGGCTCTTTCCAGACCCCGGTGGTCCCAGCAGGAGGATTCTGGGAGTTCTGGAGCGCTGACGAGTCCGGACGAAAGCCAGCACTAAGAGAAAACACACACACACACCAGTTAATGCTTTACCTGAATCAGCAGGTAGATCACAGAAAGAACGAGCTCAGGTGTACAGAGCACACCTGAGGACACACCTGTAAAGCTTCAGGAATTTATTCTGACGTTATTAAAAACGAGACGTAACTATGGGGCTCATCAGACACCACGTTTTACAAATGCTTTTATGCACATCTGAAATCTAAACCGTTGTTCAGTTAGGATTAGAGTTCAGCACCGGAAACAGTGGCAACGATGAAGACACAAGCAC